TCTGCCCAGATTCAGTCAAATGCAGCAAAGCTGATTGGACGGTGCTTCATAGTACAAATGAACCATGACCCAAAACATAGAGCAGCAGCAACCCAGGAGTTTTTGAAGGTAAAACAGTGGAATATTCTGCAGTGTCCGAGTCAATCTCCTGATCTCAACCTGATCGAGCAGCATTTCTCTCGCTGAAGACAAAACTAAAGCAGAAAGAGCCACAGACACACAACAACTGAAGTCAGCTGCAGTAAAGGCCTTGCAAAGCATCACAAAGAAGAAACCCAGTCTCTGCTGATGTCCATGAGCTCCAGACTTAAGGCAGTCATTGCCTGCAAAGAATTCTCAACAAAATATTAAAAATGAACATTTTATTTATGATTATATTTATTTGTCCAATTACATTTGAGCCCCTGAAAATAGGGGGAGTGTGTATAAAAATGGTTGTAATTCCTAAGCATTTTATGTTATATTTTGTTCAACTCCTCGAATTAAAGCTTAAAGTCTGCACTTCAATTTCATCGTGATTGTTTCATTTTAATTCTATTCTGGTGGCATACAGAGTCGAAATTATGAAAATTGTGTCAGTGTCCAAATATTTATGGACCTAACATTACATCTAATTTAATACTAGAATCATTTACAAGAACAGCTACTGATAACAAGCAGATACTCTCACAGGAATATGAATTCCAGAATAATCAAACCAGTCGGCTCTAGCTATAATGGCTGTGAGTCTCTTATTTATGCATTGGTGCCTAAAACATACATGTCAAACATATAAAACACTCAAGCTGAGTTATTCATAGTATTTTATGAGCTGGACATACAGCAGTCCACATGCAGACTATAACCATGAGTTCAGCTCGTCCACTTTTAACAGTTGCTGATTTGGCTTTAAATGGTTTACTGTGGTGTTTGTTCATTCAGGAACAGTACTGGCTGTTTAAGATGGACTATCAGTTTGTTTAAACTTTACTCTGTCCTTCTCTTCATTGTTTCTGAAGTGTGTTTGACACTGACAGACATTATGCTGTTCATTCATTTTGACTGCATTAAAGAACATACTTTGTTGAATCCGACAGTATCAGCATCCTCACTGGAAAGCTGGGACTGAAATCAAAGTGCAGAGTGCTTCAGGGGAGGATCGTGCTGTGAGCGCCCTCTTCAGGAAGAACTGTGTGTGATTCACTGGACACACCAGAGTAAAGCCTGCATTTACACTCATCTGATCACTTACACACATCTGATCAGATACTGATGCACACGTGTGAACATGAGAATCCACACAACATTTGCATCCAATCTGAGCCACCTCCAAATGTGACTGTAAATCAGCTCTGTTTCCAGTGTCTGGACATCAGAGACTATATTCACAAAATATCTTAAGGCTAAAAGTAGCTCCAAACTTGCCGATTTAAGGAAAAAATAATGAGCGGGTCCAAAATGTTTGCTCTAAGAGTATTTCACAAAGTGTTTCAAAGTTAAAAAAAACAAGCTCCTAAATCTGTGAAAGTTAGTGGTAGTCCAGAGGACTCCTGATTCACTAAGAGCAAATCACAAACCATCCTAAAACGGCTCCTGCCTGCAATCTGCTTTGGAACATTAACATTTTAGAAATAGTTCATGATAATTTCCTTTTAGTTGAATTATGTCATTCATTTCATGCACAAGATGGGCAAAAAGTAACAGCTGTTCTTGCATCCAGTTTGGTTTTCTTTTACATCCAGATAACATCTTACTATGATTATTGTAGTCTGTTGATTGAAAGGCTGTTTACATGCATATCTGCTTGGAATCCCTAAAACCTCAAAGTTGCTCTTGTTAAAGTGAAAATTATATGAATAAGTGTAAACAGCCTCTGACACACAGTCTGGCTGACTGCACTACAGTAGATTAATATCAACACATTTATCAGATGCGAGCCGGGCAATATGGCCAAAATATATTTAGCATTCAATATCTATATTTATTACAATGTTCATTTCATGCCATTAATGGGAAAGGAAATGCATTCCACATGTCTGATAAACCTCAAGAAATTTTAAAAGCTTTATTTTGCCCAAAATTACATTCTATTTTTCCCAAATCCTGTTTTCTGTTTTTTACCCATAAAATTTTAATAATTAACTCAAGCTTTTAAAAATGTAATTAAATGAAAATATAACAATATACATGAAAGCACTGCATTTCTCAGTCAAATACAGTGCACAGATGCACAACACATTATGTATAATGTATAAATTAAGAAAAGAATAAAAAATATCCTGGTTGCATGGTATTCCTTAAAATGATAATCATAAATCAATGTAATGTTATATATATATATATATAGTTTCAGCCATTTCTCCTGCAGTTGTACCTGCAATCACTCACATCATTAACACATCCCTTCACACTGGTGTTTTTCCCTCAACATTTAGACAGGCTCGTATAACCCCACTTCTTAAGAAACCCACCCTTAACCCATCTCTTTTAGAGAACTACATTCCCTTCTTCCTTTGCAAAAACACTTGAACGAGCTGTGTTCAACCAAGTCTCTGCCTTTCTCACACAGAACAACCTCCTGGACAGCAACCAGTCTGGCTTCAGAAGTGGACATTCAACCGAGACTGCCTTGCTCTCAGTTGTTGAAGCCCTAAGACTGACAAGAGCGGATTACAAATCTTCTATACTTATCTTGATGGATCTGTCCGCTGCTTTTGACACGGTTAACCACCAGATCCTCCTGTCAACCCTATTGGCAAAGGGCATCTCAGGAACCACACTCCAGTGGTTTGAGTCTTATCTCTCAGATAGGTCTTTCAAGGTAACTTGTGGCGCTTTTCCACTGCGTGGAACGACTCGGCTCGGCACGGCACGGCTCTGCTCGGCTCGGTTTGCATTTCCACTGCAGTTTAGTATCGCTTTAGAATGGGCGGGATTATTCACATGTCGTTATAGTTGCGCCGCCTATACTACCGCGACTCCTGAAAAACTTTTTAATTCCGCGTCGCCCCATCATCTCAAAGAGGCACAAAATCACTTTCACAGACTTTTACATTAACTGTTCCCTCCTGGTGGAATGACCTGCTCAACTCAATCCCAGCAGCTGAGTCCTTAACCATCTTCAAGAATCGACTAAAAACACATCTCTTCCATCTTTATTTGAACCTCTAACTCTAGCACTCTCTATTCTAATTCTACTCTTAAAAAACATGCCCCTTTTAGGCTTGCACTTTATTCATTTACTAACTGCTTGTTTCTCTTTAAAAAAAAACTAACACTAGCTTCTCTATTCTTTTTATTCTTTTTGTATTCTATTTGTTTTCTTTTTATTTATTATACAATTAACAAAAATGAAAAAGGCCTCTAACACTAGCTTGCTCTATTCTTTTTCTATTCTATCTGTTTTATTTTTATTTATTATATCATTTAAAAAAAAACCTTGCTAGTGTACTGCATTAAGCTAACTGAGACTTGTTATAGCACTTGTATATCATTGCTCTTTTGTTAGTTTTGATTGCTTCCATTGTCCTCATTTGTAAGTCGCTTTGGATAAAAGCGTCTGCTGAATGACTAAATGTAATGTAAATATATATGTGTGTGTGTGTGTGTGTGTGTACTGTATATACTGTATATATTATTTTGATGTTGTTTTGTGGTGAAGATCTTTGAGTTTCAGTGTGTATGTGATTTTATCTGAAATGAAACGGTGTAAATCTGCTGAAGTGAGTCTCAGAGCATTTCTGGAGATGACGTTCATGTGTTCGTGTCTCATATAGTGAGACACAGATGAGCACTAGTATGTGTAGCAGACAAAACTGAGCTGCTCATTTACATAGTGACACGTAGAACCGCATGTATTAAAAATTATTTTAAATGTTATTAAGGATATTATGGAATTTTGTATAAATACTGGTAATAATAATAAATAATAATTATTATTATAAATAAATACTGATTTATCACACAGCCTTACAAGTCGTTCCTAAATGCTGGTAAACAGGTAGGACAAAAAAAATAAAAAATACAGTGTCAGGCTGATGTTACCTCGAGTTTTCTCTTGGGCTCAGTGCCGCCCCCTGCTGTCCCTTCAGCTCCCTGCAGGCCTTCAAAACACGGCTTACACACGCGGATGTTCCTGCTCTCCGACACCTTCGAACACTTCCCACAGACGGCCTGCAGACGAACAGCACCACACGTCAGGACGCACAGCATTGCATACTAAACCTGTGTCTGCATGCGACTCACGTACCGCGCCGCAGCTCTTGCAGTGGTGTTTGCGTTTGGTGAAGTGGAAGGTCTCACTGCAGCCTTTGCATGTTTCTCTCTCCTTCTCTCGCTTCTTTGAGATCTTCTACAGATCAAACACACACACACACAGGTTAACACGGTGATGTCTAGCCCATATACAGATCCACTGTGTGCAGAGGTGGACAAAGTACACAGTTCCATTACTTGAGTCAAAGTACATTTACTCAAAAAGTGTACTTAAGTACAATACTCAAGTAAATGTACCTTGTTACTGTCCACCTCTGGTTGTGTGTGTGTGTGTGTGTGTGTGAGTGAGTGTATGTGTGTGTGTGTGTGTGTGTGTGTGTGTGTGTGTGAGTGAGTG